AGTAAGTCTTATACCTTTCAGAGACACCTTTCCAAGTGTCAACATGTCTGCAATAACTGACTATGTTAGGTCATAAAGAGAAGTTCAAGAAACTCCAAAAAGTAGAAATAGTATTATCTACATTCTTTGATTACAATGCAATAAAATTAGACAAGAGATAAAAGCAAAATTTTTAACAAACTAACCATTAAGAAAATTTTAAGTTATCTCCTAAAATTCTCATGGGTGCCTCGGGTCTGGTGGTACATTTGAGGCAGAAGCCCTCCCACGCAAACATCTCTGCTGAGACGAGATGTAGAAAGTTAAAAAACTCCAACCATGAGAAAAGGCCAAAATTGTAACTTTTTCTGAGTTTATAGGAGAGCTGAGTTTTTGAGGCAACCAAAGGGTGACAAACCCCTCTGAGAAGATAAAATACATGAACTGTTTTATTTTTGAAAGTAACAGGAGAAAGAGGTGGTCACCACACAGATGGGTAGGAATAAATCAGCTAAAACTTCAATGAAATGTTAAAAGCCAACTATGAACTAGGGGGTCACTTTGGAACAGTTAGGAGCACCAGAAATAAGTAGAGCTTGCACTGGCTCAAAAGCTTTCACATGCACTTCCACAAGGTGCTCAGAAAGATGCAGGTCAGGCAGGAGGCCACAGGGAGCCCCTTCGGTGGCACAGGCACGCAGGAGGCCACTGGCTGCTGCTGGAGCCAGGTCCAAAGCCCCTCCATTTCCCCCTAGTCCTTTCTCTCCTAGCCTCTGGCTCCTAAGGCCACTGGCTGCCTGAGGAAGAAGGTTGTTAGTAAACTGTCTATTGAATGAACTAATATATTTAAAATGTTCTCTTAACAGTTGTCAAAGTAATGTATAATTAAAGTAGTTCAAAACTAATTGTGAGGCTGGGCATGGCAGCGCATGCCCGCAGTCCCAGCTACTTGGGAGGCTGAAGCAGGAGGATCCCTTGAGCCCAGGAGGTCAAGGCTGCAGTGAGCTATGATCACGTCATTGCACTCTAGCCTGGGTGACACAATGAGACCCTGTATCTTACACAAACAAACAAATGAAGTGTGGTAAAACACAAAACTCATATACAATTAAGTAACAAGCATATTAAAAATATTTTGCTGGCCAGGTGCAGTGGCTCATGCCTGTAATCCCAGCACTTTGGAAGCTGAGGCGGGTGAATCATGAGGTCAGGAGTCTGAGACCAGCCTGGCCAACATGGTGAAACCCCATCTCTACTAAAAATACAAAAAATTAGCTGGGCGTGGTGGCAGGTGCCTGTAATCCCAGCTACTCAGGAGGCTGAGGCAGACCTGCTTGAATCCAGGAGGTGGAGGCTGCAGTGAGCCGAGATAGCGCCACTGCACTCCAGCCTGGGTGACAGTGCAAGACTCCGTCCCAAAATAAAAAAAATATTTTTTGCCTTCTTTCTTTTATAATTTTCTTTTTTTGTAAGAGATGTGGTCTTACTATGTTGCCCAGGCTGACCGTGAACTTCAGGGCTCGAGTATTCCTCCCACCTCAGCCTCCTCAGTAGCTGGGACTATAGGCACAAACCATCATGCTCAGCTTAGCCTTCTTTCTATTAACAATTAAAGAAATACAAGTTTAAGGATTTATACCTGCCCATGTTACCCACCATGAACGTTTTTTATAAGATTTTTTGTTACAAAAACAATATATGCTCACAATAAAAAAGATGCAGATTAAAAATAAAGTATAAAACATCACTGACCAGGTGTGGTGGCTCACAAGTATAATCACAACACTTTGGGAGGTCAAGGTGGGAGGATCCCTTGAGCTCAGGAGTTTAAGACCAGCCTGGGCAACATAGTGAAACCCCATCTCTACTAAAAATAAAAAATGAAAAAACCCCAACAAAACAAAACAAAAAGTGTCACCCACTAGAGACGAACCATAGTTAATCTCGGCACATAAACAGATAAACATAGAGAACCTCAAATTTGTGTGTGATATTTTATATCCACAATTTAATTTTAAAATGGTTTATATGGCATACATTGTGTATTTCTCCCATTTGTCAATATTCCAAAACCATCTTTCCCTGTCAACAGATACATTTCTATAATGGTTTTTAAAGGAAGCATAATATTTTACTGCATAAATGTACCATAATTTCTTTTTTTTTAGCATCATAGTTTTAGTAACCAATTCCCCACTGAAGGACATTATGACTCATTCTTAATTTTTAATGAGTATTTAGGCTAATTAAGGGGAGGGAAATGTCACAGTTACTCCAAAATTTAAATCTCAATGGTTGAGGAAACGAATTATATAATGGAAATCTTTGACTACTATGCTTGATAGGCACCAGAGCAGGCACAGCTGCAGTCTGAAAGGCTTTTAAGCCAGAAAAAAAGAAAAAAGGAAAAGAAGTGAACACATTTATAAAGCTTTCCAAACTGTCTATCACAAATGACCATGGCTTACTGCAGACCTAGCTTCTGGATTGATGACTTGAATCTAGTCATTCATTTTACTTAAGAGAAAGACAGGAAAAAAGTGTCTGTCTTAAGATCAATAAGCCCAGACTGAAAAACAGGTTTCCTCAAACACTGAAAATAGTACCATGCAGTTTTTGTCTTTGAATTTGAAGAAAATGTAGGTGAAAGTCTTTAGCATAAAGGGACAGGAAAGATCTTTACAAGCACACCACAAAAATGTGAACACATAAAAGCTAACTCAGTAACTTCAGCCTAATCAGTTGAAATAAATGAAGCAGAAAAATGTTTGTAACATATAACAGTTAAACAATTAATATGTTTTAACATACAAAGAGTTATTATTAGCCAGTGATAAAATCAAACTACTCCCAAAGAGATGAATGGGCAGAAGGCATGAAAAAGCAATCCACAAAACAAACAAATGGCCAATAAACATGAAAACTGTTGAACCTCAAAGAAATGAAAAAGAATGACAAAGTCCTGTCGTGGTGATGCTGTTCATGTGAGGAAGACAACGGGAATTGATATCACCTTTCAGAGTGCAATCTACAAGGATCAAAATGAAGTATACGTATTCTTTGAGTCATTAATCTCACCTCTAGGAATTTACCTTAATTACACATTATATATATATAATTGTACTACACACTGTAGTACTGCTTATAATGAAAACAAACTGTGAATGGAGAATCTGTGAAATAAATTATGATACATATATGCATACAATAGAATACTGTGTAGCCACTAACAAATGCTGAGTACTCAGTAGATCTACGTTTGTTAGACGGATAGTTGAAAACTATCCATGAGACTGCAGACTTTCTAAAAGGAGGGGGCTGTAGAATAGAATAGAGGCTGTCACCTCATCAACAGTTACACAGATTGCCACAGAGATGACATGAAGGATGGCCACCAAATGCTGACAGTGAATTCTGGTGATTTTTATACACTTCATGGTATTTTTCTGGATTTAAAAGAAATAATAAATGTGTCATTTTTATAAAAATATTAAGAAGCATTTTACTGATGAGGGGGAAAGGCAGTTACATTATGACAGACTCAAGCATTCCCAAAGAGATGAATTTTATCTAAATATAGTTCGGCTATTAAGGCCAGCTGGCTGTTTTATGTCTGCTTTACTTTGTTAACTGTGGTATAACAAAGAATTTTTCTGGCGTGCCATCTTGGGTTCCTGGTAGAAGCTTCAAAAACCCTTGGAATTTCCTGAGTGCTGGTGCTTTTGTTCTGCTAATGAGGTGATTCACATTGCACTCCCGGGAGTCAGGGGAGGGCAGAGACCGAGCTCAATCATGTGGCCAATGACTTAATCAATCATGCCTACGGAATGAGACTTCAATGAAATCTTTGGTCACCAAAGGTCAGTGCAGCCTCCTGACTGGTGTACAGACTGATGTGCCGGGAGAGTGGGGTGCCCTGACACTAAGGGGAAGGGTTGTAGAAGCTCTGCTTTCCCTTCTAGGCTTCGCTTTATGTGTTTCCTTTACAATAAAACTGTCATGGTAAGGACAGGACTTTTTTCTGAGTTCTGTGAGTCCTTCTAGTGAATTATCAAACCTGAGGTGGGGACATGGGAACCTCCTGGAACAGCAACCAGCTGGACAGAAATGTGAGTGGCCTGGGAATCCCCCTGAAACTTGTGGATGGAGTCTGAAGTGGGGGCAATCTTGTGGACTCTGTCCTCAATAGGCAAGATCTGCAATTACTCCAGGTAGTTGGTGTCATTTGCAATGCAGTACATCCAGGTGGTGTCAGATCAGTTGGGATGAAATGGAAAAGTAATCATCCTAAGTAATGACATAGTATTATTTTCTGTAACTGATACTTCGAAAAAATGTCAATGTAATAAATGGCCAATAGCTTTGTTGATTGGGTTTTGTGAATTTCCTACCACAAACAATAACACATAAGAAATGTTTCTGCTTCTTGGACATCCAGATGCCTCCTATCTGTGCCATTCATGCAACTCTCCCAGGCTGTGCTCCCACAGCCCCGTGGGCCTCCACTACAGCACTCATTCCCGTGTACTGCATCGGTCTCATACTGCCTCTCTCTCATATGCTGGACTGTGAATTCCAAAGCAAGCATCACATCTTCTCCATCTTTGTCTTCTCAGAGCCTACCACTATGCCTAGAAAGTGGCAGAGGTGCTATTAAGTTTGGTGGATGAATGAGTCAATGAAATAACTGTCCATAAAAATCACTCCAGTGAAGGGAAGTGCTTGAGTGCAAGCTCAGGTTTGAAACTTCACAGTCATTATTGCTTTTCTCCCCCTGCCAACCTTTCAATATTCAATGAAATACTGTGTCCTGGGAGATCAAAGTGATAAGCAACCTTTGCAGGAAAATGATAAATTAAAATAAGAATTACTTTAAACATAATAGGAAAAAAGAAAATAGTGTTAAATATTCCTTTTTCTTTTCTCTTAGATTTTTGTGGTCTCATGACAGGACATTAGCAATGTGGCTTTAACGTTTTTTCGTGGTCAGAATGCTTTTATCCTTCTCTACAACAACTTACCTTTTAACCTGGCATCACCCCCAAAGGCACCACAGCCCCAGTTTCCTGTGGCCACTGCAGAAAGATTCTCTGAAGAAATTCCAGGACGGAGAAATCCACAGTAAGCCTGCAGCATAAAAGAAATATCAAAGCCTGTGAGTGCCTAGACACTAACAGTGTTTCTGACTAATGTACTAGGATCGGTGTCCAGTATTAGGCTTATGTTCAACTTCTCATTTTTTTTTTTTCCCATAGGGGCCAAAATAGAGGGAAAAACAAAGAAGGAAGAAGGGAGAGAAAAACCTGGGATTATGCAAGGAAGAGACTAAGAAATGATAAATTCTAATATTTATTTGTTTGAATGCTAAGCAAATAAAATTCCTTAAACTAATACAGGTCCCAATTTCTTTTTCCACTTCAAACAAACAGAAATGAAAATAGCAGAGATATTTCAAGAACTAATAGGATCCCAATTATAAACTACTAGGAAAAACCACCAAAAAAGAAAGGCACTTGTTAGAACAGTTTTCTTTTTGTTTGAAGGCTTTAATCACTATTCTTTTCATCAGGCAAAGGGTCACTATTATGCCTCCTCAGCATTCTCTCTCTGAGTTATGGAGACTAGATTAATAAATGTGCTTCCTGCTACTGAAATACGTAACAAAGAGCAAGCAACTGTCTATAGAAGGGATTCCTACACCTGGTTATGAAATAACCTTTAAGATGCCTTTCAGCTCTAAGATTCTCTAGTTTCACAGCTCTGTTTTAAGCTAGAATATTTAAAAATTTGCCAGTAATCTGAGAAAAGTAAAATATATTCTGAGGATGCTGGCTAAGTATTAATTAAATGAACAGCTCATTTTCTATATGAGAAGACCATTGTGTAAGATCCCAGAGTTCCTGATTTCCACCTCTTTGCTGTCAACTAGTTGGTCTTTCTGCCTTATTTCTACATTCTTATTTTCTGAAGTGATCAGACTATAACAGGTTTAATATAACAACAAAGCAAAACTCCCCTGGGTTCTCAAGTTCCAAACAAAGCCTAAAATATAGCTTACATATAATAGCAAATACAATTAAAAGAATGATCTTGACAAACGTTCCCAGAGAAAAACCAAGGATAAAGAAAGATGCTTCTATGAAACCCACACATAGAAATATAGTAAATTGTTCTTTGAAGTTTTCACAAAGGTATAAAAATTTATTTTACAGACTGTCTCGATGGATTAACAAGGCTATTCCTTCCATACCCTCCTAGACTGTAAATCCTGACAGATATTAATTATAAGTTGGTACCAGATCATTATTCAACACTGTAGTACAGAGCTTACACAAGTACTCACAAATTACCTGCATAGTCAGACGCATGGAGCTTCTGAAAATCTCTTTCAGGTCAAAAAAATCTAAGAGCTACATTTGTTTTGAATAGGCTCTTGAAAGACAGTCTGTGTCATTATACCAACAAGGAAGAGAACAAACCCTCTGGAAGAATAAACATAACTTTGCCACTTTGTTTCATGTCAGAATTTTCTAACACGCCTAGAGAGAAGGAGGCTTCCTCAGATTCCTAGTTCATTTCTGCGTTTTATACCGTCAGGATGGTTTTAGTTTCTTTCTTACTGCTGTGTCTAAATAACTGGGTTAACTTTACTTCAATGTGCAAAAACAGCTTGGTGAAACTAAAGCCTAATAATTGAGAATTTGAAACATTTAAATTATTAGAAGCAAAATCTAGTATAAAATATTATCAAATTTTCCTGGAAAATTATCTATCTTGAAAAATGGCCATAAAAACAAACCATGAAACTGAAAATAAACCTCATTCAGTGTTTAGATCAAATTTTTAAAAGCTCATGGCTGTAACCCCAGCACTTTGGGAGGCTGAAGTGGGAGGACTGCTTGATCTCTGGAGTTTTGAGACCAGCCTGGGCAATATGGCAAGACTTTGCCTCTACAAAACAAAAAAATTAGCCAGGTGTAGTGGTGCATGCCTGTGGTCTCACCTACTTGGGAGGCTGAAGTGGGAGGACTGTTTGAGCCTGGGAGGTCTAGGCTGCAGTGAGTTATGATGGCGCCACCACACTCCAGCCTGGGTGACAGTGAGACTCTATCCCCCATCCCTGCCACCAAAAAATATTAATCAGATAAAAATTAAATGATAAAATTACATAGAAATTAGAATAACTGGTTATAACGATTAAATACAAAATTATTTTATTCTGTTAAGAAGCAAGCATTTGTAAGGTCAAAAATAAGACAGCGGTAGTATGCTGCCCCGAGCCCTCTCTGGAAGGTCAGCCCAGGCTTCTCCCTTTTCTAGGAAGAAGGATACCTTAAGCGCTGGAGATCAGGGCAGAGCCTTGAATCAGGGCACCTTTCCTTTAATGAGTAGGAATTGAACTCCTTTGGTAAAGAAACAAAGATCAGATAAGGATAGAGGCCTCAAAAGAGTTGCCAAGTTCTCACTCCATAGAGAGAGGCACTGGGAATTCTCAAGAGCTCTATACTGGCATATGCGTTTGTTTTCCCTCACCCAGAGCAAGAGTACTTGAGAAGACTGATCAGAGAGCTGCAAGGGTAAAAGAAAGCCAGCTTGAACTCTGGCCATACCCTGGCCTGATATTCTGCAATGACAGAGCAATTTATTTTTACTAATAAACAACTCAGAAGGGGGAAAAGAAAAAGGAAGCACTGAGACCTCAGGATAGTAAGCAGAAGATACCAATGAACAACCCTATCTTGGAATGAGTTTTGATGGGAAGGGAAGAAGAGAGGGAACATAAAGGTAATTTGGGAGTCCTGAAGGTCGCAAAGGGGTGTGTTGAGAAGCAAGATGAAAATATTGGTACCTAGAGTTAAAAACCAGAGACCAATCAGGAAATGGTAATGATAAAGATGTAGGAAAGAAGGAAAGAAAATGGAAAAGAGACCAAACAAAACTGGTATGAGAGTCTACAGGCCCAAAATGAGGCCCAGGAATAAATGGTATCCAGGGGAATAGTCTGGCACAAATGTGCACATGCACACTTAAGTAAGATCTTTGGCTTCAATATCAATTTTAGCAGGCCCAAGCAGATAGACAGTTACGTGCTGCATAGTGATGTTGCAGTCAACAATGAAGCACAAACACGATGATGGTCCCATAAGATTAAAATACCATATTTTCATAGTACCTGTCCTATGTTTAAGACACAAATACCTACCATTGCATCACAACTGCCTATAGTATTCAGTACAGTAACATACTCTACTGGTTTGCAGTCTAGGAGCAATAGGCCATACCATCTAGCCTAGGTGAGTAGCAGGCTATACCACTTAGGTTGTGTAAGTACTCTGTGATATGTGCACAGTGACTACTTCTCAGAACGTATCTCCATCTTTAAGTGATACATGATTTTACTTAAAAGATTTCTTTCATTATCATGTAAATACATTATTCTATTTGCTAGAATAATTTAATAATTATTGTTCCTAAAGAGTTGCTCATTTATATGAAATCAATCTACTATACTTCTTTAACTTAATACAGAGTAGATATTGATACTGATTTTCTGAGGTTTTTAGTATTCTGTGATTTCTTACGACTTTTTTTTTTTTTTTTTGAGATGGAGTCTGGCTCTAATGCCCAGGTTGGGTACAGTGGTGTGATCCCAGCTCACTGCAACCTCCACCTCCCAGGTTCAAGCGATTCTCCTGTCTCAGCCTCCCGAGTAGCTGGGATTAGACTTTATCTCTAAAATAATTATAACATTAATACATTGTTTTTGCTATTCTAAAATGCAAAATAAAATGAAAGAAGTATGCAGATCTTAGTTTCCTGATGTATAAAATCCAAGATTGGGATATGTATTTAATTGTTATTCTGATTCTATATGTTGGGAAACTTAAGGGAAAACCCACTACAAATGATACATTTGGAACATTCTTGAAAAGTAAAGTGACACATATTTTATGAAAAGATTGTAAGTGCTCAGATGCTCAATTTCTTAGAAATATCAGCAGCAAATATTGACTGGTTTTGTTATCAAGCTTTGGTTTAATAACAGACCTATTCCAAATATGGTGGTGAATAACAACAAAAACATCAATAAACAGATCAATTTTTTAAAAAGGTAAATAGGGATGATTTCTATCTCTCCACCTTGTTCAACTTCAGATTCAGAAAGCTCCACAAAACATACTCATTACTTAATCCTACCTAAAATCCTACCTAACATGGCAAATACAACTTTTCACAGGTGGTTTCTTTCTTCTCTTGCAGTGCTATCTGCCACTTTTACAAGATGAAGTCATAAATCTTTCTAATCCTAAGATAATTCTCCTTTAGAATGATACCCAGCTGATCTCTCACAGGATTAAACATTGCTTCACAGTATCAGTCAGATAAAAGGAGACTGGTTCCCTCCTTTAAAAACCAACTCTACTTGCAGGTCATGAAGTGGGTCCAGTAAGACCGGCAGAGCCTGGACGGAGCAGACCTTTTCCAGAGGCCTGGAAAGCACTTTGTAGGATTGGCTTTTCAATTATTAACTGGTGAGTAATGCTTAAAAGTAGCAAACAGGTCCCCAGAGGTCAGAGATCCATACTGAATTCTGACGGTGAAAACTGGTCTTACTGCTTTTTCACTTAGAAAAATGTGGGTTTTTTTCTTTTCCTCCTTTCTCTCTGGCATGCATACACACACAAGTAGAATTGTGCAAGTCATCTCTAAAGTGATTTCACACAGACTTCTGCTCTAAAACAAAGTTTGCAAAACATGAGATACAAAATATTAAACATTGTCTCCAAGTTGTGCTGTCAGTTTATGTGAGATTCCTGCTGCTCAGAACCAAAATTCTTAAGTCAATTTTAATAGGTAAATGTAATTAGTAAGGGACAAATGCTTTAATTTAGAAGGCCTAAAGTTGTTTGGATTAATTTCTAATTAAGTTGCCAATGACATTTAACAAAATCATTTACTGCTTTTTCCTTTTTCAGTGAAAGAATTAAAAAACTAATTATTTGCTAAAAGAACACATTTTTTGGAATATATCAGTGAATAAAAGAACACACATTTATCAGATGCCTTCCCATGTGCCAGGCTCTGAACTAGGTGCTTTCTTAAAGTTAGTCCAAGTGTTGATAGGCTCTATTACACTCGAGGTATTTCCTTGTCTCACAGGAATTTGAAAAATAGCAGGGAACCCTCAAATTTCCTTGAAAAAGTGCATCAAACAGAAAAGCATATTGAGAAAAGCATTTAACAGGTACCTTGCTCACAGCAGAAGTTTATGACCACAAAAGAAGAGTGATTCAGGCATAAGCAGGTAGGAGACTATTCCAAAAGCAGAAATATTCTCAATTATTTAAGTTTGAACCATAAAAAGTCTAGAAGGTCAGACCTAGTTATAGTAGTCTCTATGTGGAGGACTTACATTTTTAAAAAATGATTTGGCTGGGCGCAATGCCTCATGCCTGTAATCCCAACACTTTGGGAGGCCGAAGTGCACAGATTATCTGAGGTTGGGAGTTTGAGATGAGCCTGACCAAAGTGGAGAAACCCTGTCTCTATTAAACACACAAAAATAGCCGGGTGTGGTAGTGCATGCTTGTAATCCCAGCTACTCGGGAGGCTGAGGCAGAAGAATTGATTGAACCCGGGAGGCAGAGGTTGCAGTGAGCCGAGATCATGCCATTGCACTCCAGTCTGGGCAACAATAGAGAAACTCCATCTCAAAAAAAAAAAAAAAAAGACTTGAAGTCAGGGGAGCCTGGATTTGAGCTCTGGTTTGGTCACTGACCAGCTATGTGACCTGGCCTGCGACAAATTACTCAACTTCCTAAGAAGTGAGCTCACTGTCTGTAAATTAGAGACAAGAAAAATAGTTATGCCTCCCTGAGTGGTTAGGACTAAATCAGACGCTGCATTTAAAGTGCTAAGTAGAATGCCTCATACAGAGTAAGCAATCATTTACTATTGTTATCTGTATAATTTGAAAAAAAAAAAAATTCCACCTGCATTTGACTGAAAGGAATCTTTTATGAATTATAAACTAGACTTTATTGACATGAATAAGTGACATGAATAATTGCAGGTGGAAAATGAATGTACACCTGCATCACTATACATTAAAAATGAACCCCTCTGCTTCATATGGCTTCATCTGTCCCAAACTTGATTTGACACTCAACTTACTAGGCTTTATTGAGCACTCGAAGAGTATTTAGGAAATATATAACATTTTGTGACATATTGATTGATTTAAGATAATGTACTTATGTAAATTCTAAAATGTTTACCTCGAAAACCTAAATTAACATTGTCTAAGATGTTATTTAGGCCAGGCGTGGTGGCTAAGGCCTGTAATCCCAGCACTTTGGGAGGCTGAGATGGGCGGATCACCTGAGGTCAGGAGTTGGAGACAAAACTGGCCAACGTGATGAAATTCCCGCTCCATTAAAAATACAAAAATTAGCCTGGCGTGGTGGTGCGTGCCTCTGGTCCCAGCTACTTGGGAGGCTGAGGCAGGAGAATCACTTGTACCCAGGAGGCAGAGGTTGCAGTGAGCTGAGATCGCACCATTGCACTCCAGCCAGGGCAACGAGAGTGAAACCCCGTCTCAAAAAAAAAAAAAAAGTTTTTAAATTATCGATCAAGTCATTTAACAAAATATTCCTGAGACACTTCCATAAGGCAGTGTGACTGACCGCCGCCAACTCCCAATGAAATAAAACTCTTGTTGCCAGATTACTTAAAGACTCATTCTTAGTATCAAATGCCCCTCATGAGGACTCTATATTCTATAAATAAATGTTCTTCCATGTTGCCAATATTTACAACTAACTTAACCTATTCACATATATCTTTTAAATTTCTGGTGTCTCTGAGGATGGTCAAACTGAAGGTTGGTGATACACAAGTAAGTGCAGAGAGAATCAACTGGACCTGGCAATTTTAAAAAAGACTTATGCCTGAAGTTACCTTCTTAAAAATTGAGGATAACTTCTAAAAGTGAATGATCTAGTTCTCACAGAAAAGTATATGTGGGAGTATAGACTTCATTCATAAAATAGGGAACCTTTCACTTTGTATCAATGTATTAATCATGGCTACACACATTTTGGTTCTACTTTCCTTTTCATATATTTCTCTCCAACAATCTACTGCTTATATAAATGTCCTCTTGACCATGTGACAAATTCACATATACATGTTTAGGTAAGTAAAACCTCATGAAAATTTAAAGATAAAACTGATTCTACTCGATATGCTCTATCATAAAAACTTCATGGCACTGGGGACAACTGCTTTAAGGCAAGAGTTTGGAACAGTGAAAATAGGCTTACATTTAAAATGTATCTAATTACTAGTAAAAGGTACTTTTCAGGCAGGGCGTTGTGGTTCATGCCTATAATCCCAGCATTTTGGGAGGCTGAGGCGGGAGAAAATCGCTTGAGCCCAGGAGTTTGAAATTGGCCTGGGCAATATGGTGAAACCCGGTGTATCTATAAAAGAAAAATTAGCCAGGTGTGGTGGTGCACACTAGTACTCCTGGCTACTCAGGCGGCTGAGACGGGAGGATCACCTGAGCCCAGAGAGGTTGAAAGTCTGCAGTGAGCTGTGATCGCGCATGCCACTGCACTCCAGCCTAGGCAAAAAAGACCCTGCTTCAAAAAAAAAAAAAAAAAAAAAAAAAAAAAAGATAATCTTCAGTACAGGCAAATCTCTGACTTTCAGAATCAGGCAGGAGAGAACTTTAGAACTGTTGATACATCAAAGGCCAGACATTCTGGATAGCTTTTCTGAGGGATTACTTTTTCTTTTTATTTTTAAATAAATGATGTCTGTTATGTAAGTTCAACTTTAAAAAATAGTGCATTATTCTTCAAACATTTTATAAAATTTGAGAACTCTAAACATTAAAATAATTTAAAAAATTATACATACAAGAATATGTTCAACAATAAATTAGATTCTCCCAAATAGATCAGGATATAAGATACTTAATTATGTTCAAAATATCTACTAAGTTTTAAGTGTAGTAAAAGTCTGTCTAGATCACTGTTATTATTCTCAGAAGTCTGTGTAGGAACTGGCACACCATGTATAACCATGTAAAACCACAAGCCTCATTATCCTAATAATCTCATAACCAAATCCTACTCATGGGAGTGAAACACTGATCTTCAGAATTGGGTCAGTCTTCTTGGCTGTGTGAATAATTTGTGGAACTAAAGAAAATCTCTAGGCTGGGCGCAGTGGCTCACGCCTGTAATCCCAACACTCTGGGAAGCCGTGGCTGGCAGGATTGCCTGAAGTCAGGAATTCGAGACCAGGCTGGCTAACACAGTGAAACCCCATCTCTACTAAAAATACAAAAATTAGCTGGGTGTGGTGGTGGGCACCTGTAATCTTAGTCCTTGGGAGGCTGAGGCGGGAGAATCGCTTGAACCCGGGAGGCAGAGGTTGCAGTGAGCTAAGATCACGCCATTGCACTCCAGCCTCAGCCACAAAAGTGAAACTCCATTTCAAAAAGAAAAAAAAAAAGAAAATCTCTACTGAGTGAATAATTTGAGGAACTAAAGAAAATCTCTGCTGTTTTGGGAAAGCCCAAAATCCAGAGAACAGAATCAGCTCTCTATTGTGTAACAGAGTTTATTTATTATGGTTGCCAATACTGAAAATCTGAACAACAGGTATGGCTCATTTTTATATTTCTGTAATACAATAAAAAAGAAAAAAAATGAATATAGTAGGCAGCACTAAGTATTACAGAAAATAATAGATTCCATCATAAATCTTACCTAAAATAGAACATTTGACCTGGCTTTTTCAGTTTTTCTGTTTTAACCCTGATAGCATACTTTGTAGAGAAAATGTCATTAAGCAGGTCTGAGAAAAAATTTTCAGAGCTCATTCGTTTCTATATGGTTTTACAATGATAATGTTCCATAGCAGCTAAGGTACTTGATGAGATAAATGCATGTGTGGGGTTTAAAACTAGGCAACAGCCTATCTGGCAACCTTAGCTGCTAATCAAACAATTACAAAATGGAAAGTACATCTTGTACAAGCTGACACAGCCATTAAATCAGGAGAGCTGTGCGCAGACATACTGACACTGCAAGAATTACCAGAAAGCATTAATTTCAGCATTAATAAAATGGCAGTAAATAGATGACAGCTGCCGGATGAACTAAGAAATAAGGTTACTGGCCTTGTTCAGCTCGCGTCTGATTTTCTCAGGCACAAACTGATCGAGGTAGCGTCTGAAGTGAAGAGCATCGATGGCAACGATTTCAGTGCAGCGCCGCTGCCAGTCGTCCCTGGGACAGGATGGAAAGGGGAGAAAAGACAAGGAACAGGTAGTCAGTCGCTCAAATGAAATCCTCTCAGGGGTCAGGTTGCCAAGACTTTAGCTGTGTTAAAATATTCAAAACAAACAAACCAGTGTCTGCAGGTCTGAGCAAAAGGAAAGGAAAAGAAAGGAAACACCCTTTATTTTTAGATTGAGGCATATACAGTGTGCACTGTCAGACATTAAAGAGTAAAATGAAAAATTACCCAGAGACAACACAATGACATAGTGTAAACAGGTAAATCATTTATAGTAAGTCTCAGAGGTTAAAGGATTTGGGGGCAAACAAAAGGAATCTAGTTCTTTGTTTTCCTCTAATACTAAGGACATGGCATTTGCATCTTGACAAAAGCTCATTCCTCCTTTGCTTTGAGAGATCCGCTTTAAATCACTGGGGTTGTAACATCACTATGCACTGTCCAGGAAATTCCTAAGAAGTGTTACAAAAATGTGAAATAATTCAGTACAGCAGTCTACCTACTGTGCTCAATTGCTGACTGTGATAAACTATTTTTAAAATAACAAAGACATCAAAGCAGACAATACCATGTTGCCTGTGGAAATAGAAAGCAATGGTTGAGATGATAATTTTGGAAACATGTAAAATCCCAAATATTTAATCTCTTTATGAACTTGCATATATTGCTGTGCCAAGCAACTTTTCAAACCGAAAACCAAAATAGAAATCTTCATGCTGGTTTGTAAATAATTATCAGGAATAAACATCTACATAGATGTTTGTTGCAACCACATATTTTAAAAAAATAAAGAGAAAGAAAGCAGAGGATGGACTTGAGACATTACAAGGAATAAATTTGTGGCACGTGGGCAAGAGCTGATTCTTTCTGCCACAATGGCTTTCTCATCAAATAACAAACAAAATAAAACAAAACAAAAAATCCCACAAGCTTTCAGGTAGCATTTCTGCAAAATTTTATCTCTGGTAAACTAGAAGCAAGACTGTCAAAGTAGAAGACTATATTTCAAGAAGAAATAGGAGACAGGAGCAGCAAACCACATTGCAGGTTCTGCCATCAACTGGTTTGTGGCATTAGGTCAACTGTCACAACATAGGTTTCCTCTATCTAATTTCACAGAAAAATTAAATATAACTTAGTAAGTTGGTCAAAGGCTTTAAGCTCTAATTAGAACCTATTCTACTCAGATTTAAACACGGAATTTAACCTCCACAGCTTCTGATTGTAGTTCAGAGGTAAAGAACTGTAGAGAATTCTGCCCCTCTTTGTCTTTGCTTTAGACTTTTCGTTTTATCTTCTCTGTTCTTCCCTTTGGTACAGGAAGGTGCTAATAGTGTTTTAAATGACAATGAACCTGTAATGCTGATTTCTTTTCTTTTTCCTTTTTAAGTTCACTTGCTGAAATACAAGCAGAGGGAATTAGAGTGTGTGAGGGTCAAGCCCAAATTCCTTTGTTTTTCGTCATGGAATACTGAAGACAGAAACAGACTTACCTTTCACTCCCATCTTCGTGGCTCCGGGACCAACGATATGTCTCGGCATAGCCTGTGTATTCACTGTACTGCTCAGTACCTGAAACAAACAATCTGTCACTATTAACTTCACACTTAATGGCAAAAACATTCCACCTACCACAACATGGCAAGAATCACTTCTGTTTAGCACTGTACTGAAGGTCTCTCCAGCCAGTGCAATAAAGCAAGAAAAGAAACAAAACGGCATAAAGAACGTAAAAAAAAAAAAGTCAAACTGTCCCTATTTGTAGATATCATGATTGTTTACATAGCAAATTCTAAGGAATCACTAACTAAAGAGAGAGGCCAGGCGCAGTGGCTCACGCCTGTAATCCCAGAGGCGGGTGGATTACCTAAGGTCAGAAGTTTGAGATCAGCCTGGCCAACATGGTGAAACTCCACCTCTACTAAAAATGTAAAAATTAGCCAGGCGTGAAGGTGTGTGCCTTTAATCCCAGCTACTGGGGGGCTGAGGCAGGAGAACTGCTTGAACCTGGGAGGCGGAGGTTGCAGTGAGCCGAGATGGTGCCACTGCACTCCAGAGTGGGAGACACAGCGAGACTCAGTCTCAAAAGAAAAAAAAAGAAAAAAGAAAAGAAAAGAAAGAAAGAGAGGAAATTAAAATAAAGAAAAAGCATGTAAGTAAACTTAGTAAGATCAAGGGTATGTTTGTATACTAGCAACAAACAATGAGAAAATAAACATTTTTTAAAAATCCATTACCCATAATGTCAAAAACCATAAAATACCTAGGAATAAATGTAACAACAAAGAAGACACTACTGGCCGGGCACAGTGGCTCACGTCTGTAATCCTAGCACTTTGGGAGGCCGAGGCTGGTGGATCACCTGAGGTCAGAAGTTCAAGACCAGCCTGGCCAACATGGTGAAGCTCCGTCTCTACTAAAAATACAAAAATTAGCTGGGCATTGTGGTGTGTGCCTGTAATCTCAGCTACTCAGGAGGCTGAGGAAGGAGAATTGCTTGAACCCAGGAGGCAGATGTTGCAGTGAGTGGAGACTGTATCACTTCACTCCAGCCTGGGCCACAGAGCAAGACTCCATCTCAAAAAAAAAAAAAAAAAGACACTATTAAAAAAAAGAAAACTTAAATGGGACATATACTCTCTTGAGATAGAAGACTCAATATTGTTACAATGTTAATTTTTGATATAAAGATTCATATCAATCTTAACACAAGTAGACATTAAAAAATAATAATTAAGAAGGTGACTTAAAAATTTACAAGGAAATGCAAAGAACCTAGAATGAACAACAACAACAACAAGAATAGCAACAAAAAACAAGAAAATTGGAACACTCAACGCCCTAAGTTGAACACTTACTTAGTCTTGGCCTTCAGAAAGACCAAGAGTTGAATGGAATTAAGCAGAATTCATAAGTACAATCATACTTGTATCATCAACTGATTTTCAACAAAGGTACTAAAATAATCCATTAGAAAAATATTTTCTAACAAACATTGCTGGAATAAGTAGACATTCATAGAAAAATCCATAAACCTTAACTGTGACCACACACTACAAATAAAAATTATTTTGAGATGGACCACAGACATAAACATAAAACACAAAACTGTAAGACTTTCAGAAGAAAATATAGGAGAATAGCTTTACGACATTGGGTAGGTATAAATTTCTTAGACAGGATAAAGAAAGCAGTGACCATAACATTTACAAAACAAGCCAGCCAACTGCCTGGGAAGTGAGGAGCGCCTCTGCCCGGCCGCCGCCCCATATGGGAAGTGAAGAGTGCCTCTACCAGGCCGCCAACCTGTCCAGGAAGTGAGGAGCGCCTCTGACCAGCTGCCCACAGTCCACAAAGTGAGGAGCACCCCCTGCTCAGCTGCCAACTGTCTGGGAAGTGAGGAGTGCCTCTGCCCAGCCAGCCAACCACCTGGGAACTGAGGAGCGCCTCTGCCAGGGCGCCGCCCTGTCCAGGAAGTGAGGAGAGCCTCTGCCCAGCTGCTCATAGTCCGCAAAGTGAAGAGCGCCTCTGCTCAGCTGCCAACCACCTGGGAAGTGAGGAGCGCCTCTGCCAGGGCGCCCAACTGACTGGGAAGTGAGGAGCACCTCTGCTCAGCTGCCAACTGTCTGGGAAGTGAGGAGAGCCTCTGCCTCGCCGCCGCCCCGTTTGGGAAGTGAGGAGCACCTCTGCCCAGCTGCCCACAGTCCGAGAAGTGAGGAGCGCCTCTGCCCAGCTGCCAACCGTCTGGGAAGTGAGGAGAGCCTCTGCCAGGCTGCTGCCCTGTCCAGGAAGTGAGGCGCGCCTCTGCCCAGCTGCCCATAGTCCGCAAAGTGAGGGGCGCCTCTGCTCAACTGGCAACGCCTGGGAAGTAAGGAGCGCCTCTGCCCGGCCGCCCAACTGACTGGGAAGTGAGGAGCGCCTCTGCCCGGCCGCCCCACTGTCTGGGAAGTAAGGAGCGCCTCTGCCGGGCCGCCGCCCCGTCTCCGAAGTGAGGAGCGCCTCTGCCCGGCCACTGTGCAAGGGTACTTGGAAGGTCACCTTCCAAGTGTGAAGTGACAGCCTTGCGTGTGATCTTTTCTGTCTTTCCCAAGTTTGCATTTTCAACATTAAAGTTTACTTTTTAGCTAAAAGTTTTTAAAAAATTTACAAAACAAAAACTAGAATAAGCAAAATTAAATACTTCTGGTCATCAAAACCTTCAGGGCTGAGTGCCGTGGTTCATGCCTGTAATTCCAGCACTTTAGGAAGCTGAGGCGGGTGGATCACTTGAAGTCAGGAGTTTCAGACCAGCCTAGACAACAGGGTGAAACCTTGTCTCTACTAAAAATACAAAAACTAGCCAGGCATGGTGGCGTGCACCTGTAATCCCAGCTACTCGGGAGGCTAAGGCAGGAGAACTGCTTGAACCTGGGAAGTGGAGGTTGCACTGAGCTGAGATCATGCCACTGCCCTCTGGCCTGGGTGACAGAGCGAGACTCCATCTCAAAAAAACAAAACAAAAACAACAAACAAACAAACAATGAAAAAACACCTTCAGAAAAATGCTTAGACAAGACTGGAGAAAAAATATTTGCAAATCAAATATCTGACAAAGGACTTGTGTTCAGAATATGTGACGAACTCCTACATGTCTATATAAAACCACAACCCAATTTAGAAAAATGGACAGAAGACTTGAATATAAACTTCACACAGGAAGATATACAACTGGCTAACAACCACATGAAATATTGCTCAACATTATTAGTCATCAGAGAAATGCAAATAAAAAAAAATCACAGTGAGAACCCACCATACACTCAAAAGAGAGGCTAAAATAAAAAAAAAATAAAAAAAGAGTGACAACACTAAATGTTGACGAGGATGCAGAAGAAGTGGAAATCTCATTATATATTGCTCGTAGAACATAAATTGGTGTAACAATTTTGGAAAAGAGTTTGACAATCCCTTATAAAATTAAATATACACATATTCTTTGACCTAGAACTTCCATCCCTAGATATCTACTAAACAAATATTGAAAATATGTGCTCACAAAAACTGCAGAGAATACTACTACTAAACAAATACTGAAAATGTGTGCTCACAAAAACTGCAAAGAATTATGTTCATAGCAGCTTTATTTATAATAGATTTGTATCAGTCATTGTTCAACCAGAGAAATGGAACCAGTAGGACATATATATGAAGAGATTTATTGCCAAAAATTGGCCTACACAATTGAGGAGCTGACTAGTCAGGTCCAAAGGGTGCACAGGAACTCTCAGGCATGGGTGAAGCGGCAGTGCACAGAATGAATCTCCTCTTCAGAGAAGCCTCAGCTCTGCTCTTAAGGCCTTCCACTGGACTGAATCAGGCCTAGGCAGATTATCACTTATTTAATGCAAATCATATTGAATGTAGCCAAACACAGTGGCTCACGCCTGTAATCCCAGCACTTTGGGAGGCTGAGGTGGGCAGATCACTTGAGGTCAGTAGTTCGAGACCAGCCTAGCCAACGTGGTGAAACCCAGTCCCTACTAAAATTACAAAAATTAGCTGAACATGGTGGCAGGCACCTGTAATCCCAGCTACTTGGGAGGCAGAGGCAGGGGCATCACAGAGGTTGCAGTGAGCCAAGGTCACACCACTGTACTCCAGCCTGGGCGATAGAGTTGAGACTTTGTCTCAAAGGAAAAAAAATGCTTATTGAATGTAATTAGATTAACTCCTTTACTTGTAGACTTTGATTACATCTATAAAATACTTTCACAGCAATACCCAAATTAGTGTTTGACAGAACTAGGGGCTGTAGCCTAGCTAAGTTGACATTACAAAAAAAAAGACTATCACAAAACTAAAGTGGAAACAATCCAACTATTGATAAAAAATTAATAAAACATTTGCCATGATCACACAAAGGAATACTCCTTAGTAATAAAAGGGATAGAACCACTGATATATTAAAAAACAAAGATAAATCTCACATTACGCTAAGCAAAAGAAGCAAGATACAGAAGTGTGTATGATATATATTTACATGACATTCAAAAAAAAAAAGAAAAAAGTAATTTATAACGAAAAGAATAAAAATTATGGTTGTTTCTGGGGTTGGAGACTGACCAGAAAAGGGCTCAAGGGAAGTTTTTGAGGTGATAGACATTTTTTTTTTTTTAAATGTCTTGATAGGGGTGTGGGATATAAAAGCATATCTATTTGCCAAAACTCACCATATTATCCATTTAACACTGTATACTTTAATGTGTGTAAATTTTACTTCAAAAATAAAAGAACTGTAAACAAATATTGAACTCCATTTAACAGGTTTACTTTCTGCAGGGGCATGGTTTAGAAGTTCTGAAACCACCTTTTGTATATATTAGGCTTAAACAAAGGAAAAAAATTGAAGATATTGGGAGCCACATTCTTCACAGTTGGGGAAGAGAGTTCCAATTATGGAAAGGGGGAAAGACTACAATATAGGCTGTGATGCTGGTTAAGAATGGGAGGTATCGATATAAATTCACAGTTTTGTGTGTGTGGTGTAACATATGTTCTAGTTCAAATCTTGGCTTCCAAAAACTAACAAAAAT